GTTTCTGTATGCTCAGTGGCGGAACTCCTCAGCGTAGTTATCGAAGGATGCTTCTTAGAGTGTGACTGGCAGACTGGCAGGCTATGAAGGCCATGAAAAGTATGAAGGCGATGAAGGCAGTCCGCGCGACTCCAAAAGGTGAAATTGCTGCTCAGTTGGCGGAGGGTGCGGGTTTGAAGAAAAGCGAAGTGATGAAGTTGCTGGATTCCCTAGCAGACATTGGCACCAAAGAGTTGAAGAAGGCAGGGAAGTTCACCCTTCCCGGACTTGTCATGATCAAGACCCGGAAGAAGAAAGCCACAAAGGCTGGCAAACGTATGATGTTTGGAAAAGAAGTGAAGATTAAGGCGCAGCCGGCGAAGACGGTTGTCAAGGCACTGGACGGTTTGAGAAAACCCCAAATATCCCTACACGTAAGGCAGTTTCTTTGGGCCGAAACCCTGTGAAGGATTCCGAAATCAACATGACAATCGGGTTTGCAGTGTGAAAATTTGCGCTTGTCTGATCATCCCGAGATATCCCGAGGCGTTTCCGGTCAAGGCGATTAAAGACGAGTTCTAGACTCCAGAGGTGCAGCGGTGGCATTTTGACGAGTCGATCGCTCCGATGGGCTGGCTCCGATGGGCTCTCTTGAGGTTGCAATGCTGGCTTAGCTGTCGCTCAGGCGCTCGTTTGAAGATGAGCGTTCAAATTTTGAGCCTGTGTTGATGCTGAACCCGAGCATGCAACTCTGAGACCTGCAGTGCATCAGGGATGCGATGATGCATGAACCATCGAGTATTTTGGTGGGTGCACTGCCGTCTCAAATGTATTCCCCCTACCTAGCAGATGTGGTGGATGCCTGCTTGCAAAACACTGAGTCACAGCCCCTGCCTGAAGAGTTTGGCAACCAAGTTGAAGGCTGCGAAGTAGGTAATGGCTCAGAAGCCTTGAAGTTTGCATGCCGCACTCTCAATTCAATGAACCCAGAGCCCCGCGCGAGAGCTTGATTGCGGGCAACAATTAAATTAGAGGAGGTGCGAGAGCTCAATTTCACGACCGGATAAGCCTTGCCCAGGAAGCAGAACCCACCCTTGGCTGCTGGTAAGCTTCACAGGTAGTCATTTTCCTTGCTAGATGGGGAAGGCATTTTTGCAGCCGAAAACGGTGTGTAGGGGAAACACATGGGGGTGGTTGCGCGCCCCCTCCAACCCCTCCGCTGCTTTGAAAAGCATGCATGCGCTGCATCAAAATGTAGCAAGAAGCAGCTCGCAATGATGCTGTCGCATAGCGCGTCCTGACGCATTCTCCTGAGCTTCCGCTTGCAGCTTCCACTCAGGTTTGCTGGAAAATCCAGCTCCAAAAAAGTTGGAGCATCCTCACATTGTGGCTTGGAATTGCGCTCTTGCATGGGATATCTTCACATTTTTGATGTGAACTTGAGCGCTTGCATGGAGAGTCCTTACAGTTATCCTCGGAATCGAGCTGTGGCGTGGAATTTTTGCACGCTTTGGCTCAAGATTTCCTATGTCGGCACGAAATGGAGCTGGGGAGGAAGCGGTGGTGGTGGTGGTGGTGGTGGTGGTGGTGGTGGTGGGAGTGGGAGTGGGGGTGGGTGGGGGTGGGGGTGGGGGTGGGGGTGCGGCTGGGGCTGGGGCTGGGGGTGGGGGTGGGAGTGGTGGTGGTGGTGGTGGTGGTGGTGGTGGTGGTGGCGGTGGTGGTGGTGTGGCGGCGGTGGTGGCGCTGGTGTTAAATGACACGGGTCCCGCACCGACCTGGATTGTATGCCGTGTGGTGAGCATACTTGAATAACACCAAATGGGTTTGGCTCAAGACTGGATTGCTGTCATTGTGTGTGAGTGCACAAGGGATTGATCAAGCTTGTCGTGGATTGTGGAGGGTGATTGATTCATCAGCTGTATTTTGGATAGGTTGATTGGAAATTGTGATTGTTGAATTTTATATGGTAGCGGACCTGTGAAAGATTCAGAGCTGTGTTCATTCAGTCCAGAAGGGACGTTGGTTCCAAGTCACTTGGGGGTGAGATCAAATTATCCCCTTCCCACCGATAACGGTGAGATTGACAGGTGGGAAGATTGGAGCTGGCAATTGAAAAGATATGTAGGATTGTACAAGCCATTGGCAAAAGTGCAATCGGACGACGGAGAAGACCCCGAAAGAGAAAGAGATCAGTGACGAGTTGTGTCAGGAGTATGACATCCAGCAAAGCAATGGCAGGAATGAGCTCCCAGTGTTTTCAACGCAACTGGCATATCTATTGGCCCAGATCCTTCATGGTTCAGCTAGAGCAATTGTTCGACGTGAAGGAACTGAGAATGGCCTTGAGAATTGGCGTAGATTGAGCAATCAAGTTGCGCTGCCCGAGCGCACCAAGGCCACCAGCTTGTTGAATGAGATATTGTCGTTCGAACAGCAGCCTGATCACCTTGGACGTGATTTGAGTGATTTCCTGGTTGTGAAGGACAGACATGAGAAGACCACTGATAGGCCTATTGACAGATGATGATTTGTTGCTTACACTGTTCATGCAGAAGATGACTGGCCCACTGCAACAGCCTTTGAGATCGCACAAAAGATCCGTGATTACATTCCAACAAGCTCTGGACACTATGTACGCTGACACCAAGAGCAAGCGATTTATTGTGCCCATCATTGCGCATGCACCCAGTCAGGGAAGGCTCCAATGGACATAAGGGCACGGAAAGGTAAAGGTAAGAAAGGTGGAAAAGGATAGAAAGCAAAAGGAATGAAATGAATGTTATAAGGCAAGAGCAAAGGGAACGGAAAAGGAAAGAGCAAAGGAATGAAAAGAAAGGGCAAATGGAAGAAAAGGTAAAGGAATGAAAGGAAAAGGAAAAGTGGAAAAGGACAAGACTGTTTCGTTTGTTGAAGCAACGCACATTGGCGTAGGAATGCCCTCAAGCGAAGCATGTGAATGCACTTACACGACAGAATGAGAGCAGAGAGAATGGACAGACAGAAGACTGGTCAGATGATAGGTCATTGTGTGAGGATGGCTCTTATGATGAGTCAGGATGGAGTGAATGGAATGGTTTTGTCGATGATTGGTCATGGAATGACGGTGGATGCAGTGACTGGTCGTGGGATGATGGATGGAATGAATGTGCTGACTGTATTTGGTCAAATTGGAATGATGCAGAGCAAAAAACTCCCTCAATCAGTCGACAGCAGAACGCTCCACAGAGTGCTCCGCAGACTGAGCAGCAGAGTGCCCAGAATGCCGCGGCTTTAGTTACTGACCCTAGTCTTGAGATTTTTTTTCGAATTTGCCGCAATATGATCCCGGAAATGGTTCAGTGACAACTGGACAGCGCGTCAGGGCCGTGCGTGGTGCTAAGCCTGGATTGTTGTCAAATTTATTCATTGAAACGTGTTTGTTGGTGGCAACATTGGGTGCAATGATGGTTGCGCCTGATGAGTTGCCATCATTGTCCGACATTCAGAGTGGCGCTGTTGATCCTGACATGATTGGTGACAAGTTGAGTGAGTTTCACATGCAAGCCGGACTGACAGATTGTTGCATCATGCTTTTTAAGACGAAATCGGTTGCACGTCTTTCAGCTCGGGGGATGTGGCAGGCCCCCCCGGGCAAATTTTTAGCATGGTCCCAGGTTTTGCCCCTGATCCTCCCTTGCCGAGTCTTTGCTCCTAGCAGTTGGTGCTTGGGTCCTGGGCTTCCTTAGTGGGTCACTGGTGCAGGCAATTCGTTTGGGTTATCAATGTAGAGTTTTTGGGCCCATCATCCCATAGGCCCCCTGCCACAGGTCAGCAAGAGGATAGGCTAGCTGTCTATAGATGGCAGTAGGTGGCCTTTGTGCGTGGTTTCCACTTTTGTCACTGCTTGCTGGACGTGCTATTGTGAGAGTGGAAGTTACTGGGACTACCAAGAGGATCGTCGTTTTTTTTTAACTGCCCCCAAAGATTTTGACCCTGGCTGTGCAAGACAGGCTGGCTGGGAGATTGAATTCTCGGCAAACCAGCCGGACTCCTACGCAGCGGGTCCAATCGGCTTTTGATGCTGGTTTCCCAGCGTAAATGCCCTTGAAGCTGGGGCCGCGCGAAGCCGCGGTCGTGGCAGTGATGCAGCGGTGGGTGCAGCGGGCGACGCAGCTGGCCTCACGGCTGTGGAAGCGTTCGGGCCCTTGCGAAACCTTTGGTGAAAACACCCAGCTCGAGGACGACGAAGAGGCCATGGGCAAAGGTGCTACCACGGAGCAGTTGCTGGCGCCGCTGGCCTGGGTCACGTTGCTGAGCTATAGAAGAGGAAGGGGAAAAAAAGCAAGGCCCCTAACCGAACCTGCCGCTAAAGCGATCCTCTTCAACGCCTTTCAGGCGCGAAGCGGACTGTTTGGCTGAGAGGCTAAGGCAGGCCACGGAGGCCGTCCCAAAGCCATACATCCCAGCCATAAAGTCATTGGCCGCCCAGATTTTGAGCTGGGCCCAGGCACTATGGAGGCAATGAATCATTGAGCTACATGGTCTGGTCAACAACAGAGGCGATCACTTTGCTCCGCCAGGAGATATGGCAAGGCGCGTTTGGTTTTGCTCTTGACCAATGAGTTTGCCACCAGGGAACGCCTTGTATGTTGCCGTTGAAAAGAGATTAATTCTAATGTTTTTACAGGCAGCCAGAATGAGCAGCAGTAACGCACGACCACTGAGAACAGCGAATGAAGCTTGACAACTACTTCAACAGACAGTTCCTGGACCACGTGCCGACTGGCGTGAATGAGGCCTATTTGACCGTCCCGATTGTTCGATTGTCGGCAAGGTCACGACCATGAATGGATTCAAACTATGCTTGTGTAACGTGACCAAATGGCACTTCTGGTAGACTGGTGTCCGCGTGATGAATGGACGTGGCCCCATGATTGAGTTGGGAATGCTCGGCCATGTCCCAAATGCAATGGCAATGGCTACGGAGGCTGAGGTTGCGGGCGAACGCTCAATTTGGGATGAGCAATACGACCCAGAGTTCGGGGAGGCACTCGCGAATGTCATTGCCACGTCATCGCCAAGCTTCTCTGACCCAATGACACTGCTTGGGAACTTGCTGAAGAAGATAACGCGGAGACCACTATACGCTGGAGGCTTGTGCGTGATGGTCCAGCAGGAGATTGAGTGCGTTCCTTCTGACTCCTGGTGCCACCAGCAGCAAGGCGAGCTCTTCAACATCGAGTTTGGACACAGCTATGTGGTTGCGGCATGGAGACGCCCAGGTGGAGATCGTGACCTTTTCAAGCAGGAAATTTGTGCGCTTGGCCTGTCGGCTACCGCGGCCTCAGGACCTTGGCTTCTGGTGGCCGCCGACCGCTATGACAAACCAGGTGAAATTGCTACGCCAGTGACATGTCAGTGGTGGCCCCTATGGATGAGATGCGACAGTACATTCCTTCCAGATGGCAAGGCGCAAGGGCTTTGGACTGGGCGCTCACCAACGACAGTCTTCACAGCTTCACCTCGTAGGTCGAGGAAGAAGCGTTTGGCGACCACAAGTTTTCGGACGCACGGATTGATGGGGATGCGGCAGCGGAGGAGCA